CAAAATGAAGCCTTCTAAATGCCCCACAAAAGAAAAAAAATGAGGCATGGAAAGCGAAAAAAGAAGGGAGGAGAGAAAGCGAAAAGTCAAAGTCAAGACTGCTGTGTCACTTTTAAACCCAAAAATTATCTCGAAATTTTGCCTTCTGCGTATGCCCAAACTTCACAAGCTAATATTTTGCATCTGGATCAGAAGGCTGCGAAGAGTACAACCTGTAAACAGCTTTGTGGTAAGTTTTAGCTCTTAATAGCACCACAGTGACCAGAAAACCGTTTGACTAGCTTCAAATGCGTTTTTCGGCAAAATCTCTAGGGGTGAATGCATTAAGGACTTTTCAAGGACCACTTAAGATTTTCAAGGAGCACCTACCATAGCCTGTACAAAAATGCACATTCCCAGGCCATTGCTTGATCCACCACCTTCCCTACATTTTTAAGTTCTGCTCCCTTGTCTTAAATTGAAAGTTGATTCTTGCATAAAACAAAAGACGCCTTATGTAAATCACCAATAACTTCTATGAGCTACTTTTTTTATAATTTATATTCTCTTTTGGACAAGCAAAAAGCATTAAAAAAAGGAACATTCCAGGCCACTAAATTCAAAGTTGAAGAAAATTCAAGGACGTGCACAAAACTTTAAGGACATTTCAAGGAAAATTGAATTCAAGGACTTTTGAAGGACTCCAAAGCTGTGCTGTAGAGGAAATTGAAGGGAGCCAATTGCTCTGAATCTTTAACATCCAGGGTGCTCAGCATAATTATAAATGGTATGAAACATCTAAAATTTGCTAGTCTCCAAAGAGCAAAAGTGAGGCACCAGGGGCCACCCGCTGCTGCTACAGGGTTGTCATTAAGATTTCAAGTTGCAGGGTAAATACAACAAGTAGGCGGGGAATCAAAAAGCTAGGGATTTCTTTTTGTTCTATTTTTGTTCTATTTTCCAATAAAAGTAGCCAGGCGCCACACTCATAGTAGACAACCTTGTGCTACAGCACAGCCCTGGACTCCCCCTAAAATTGAAGGACGTTTCAAGACATGCGAACCGTGTGCTTAAATCAAAGGCAGTTAAACAAAAAGATGTTTACGGTACATTTAAGAGCGATGGCCAGGAAATATCCACCGTCGAGTGGCAAGAGTTGAAAAATCGATTTCCCTCATTTTTTGTCCATAAATATTAGCTTTTAGGTAGATAAGTAATCTGATGTAAGTTGTTCTCACAAAAAGCTTTTTATTTTCGAGAAAAGTTAGAATATCAGTTTTCGTGGTCGGAGTCTCAAAATGACCGTATTTTCAACCCAAAATTTGCTAACATCAACTCTCCTTGCGTTCGCAAATAAAGCTGCAAGGAGAAATTTGGACACTTTCCATCAATAGAACAACTCTTCTTCTTTCACTAGAAGATACTTTCAAAGCAATATCAAGACTCGCTGAACTAACATAATTCAAATTTTACAGTGACAAAAACTTTAATTTAGTAGTTGTTGTCTGCGGCATTATTCTTCATCTGGTATAGCTCCAAATTTTTTCCAGTCCTCGTTTATTCACACATTTAAACATTCATCTAAAACATACCTGAGAATTGGCTTGGGTTCCTTTGGGCAGCCTCCAAACAAAAGCATCGAAGTCCGGTAAAAACAGTGACGAGTGACCAAAATAACTTATTTAACGGCTCCAAGTTTCCTCCATCATAAAGTAACAATACGAAATATCTTCCTGTTCAGTCATACTTAGCGAATTACCATTGTTAAAGTCCTTACTTTTCGATAAAAAGTGAGAACCAGAAAAAGCGTGTTTGATTTTTTCTCCTTCAAATAATGTCGGGATCGAAAATGTTACTCTTTGAAGAATTGCGTTGCGTTACTATCGTAATTCTGTGACACGTTATGTCACGTGCAGTCACGGTAGAGTTCAGTGTCTCAAAATGGCTAAAATTGACCCAGTTTCACCTTTTTACCCCACTCTTTGATTGAAAAAAGGAATTTTGCAATGGGAAAACCTACAAGAAGTACAAAAAAACGAGCCTTTAGGCTGTAGATAATTATCTACTTTTGTGCGTTTTGAGATTGGAAGTCACTTCCAATTTACCATCGGCCTACCACGAAAATTCCTGAACTTCGATGGTGTCTTACAGAGATTACATTCAATTACTCAGCCAATTCCCAAGTATGTTTTAAATGAATGTCTAAATGTGTTTTAAATAGCATGACAAGAACGGTTACGCCACATGTTAAATATAGCTGTCGAAAATGAGTAACGAACTTAAGTATTTGTTATCCTGAAAACCTATCCCTCATTTTTGAATTATTTCAGTATGACGAGGTTCGCTGTTGCCCTGAAAGTATCTTTCAGTGGCAGAAAAAGAATTTTTCTGTCCATGGAAAGTGTCCAAATTTCTCCATGCCGCTTCGTTTACGAACGCCAGGAAAGTTAATGTTAGCGAATTTCAGGTTAAAAATTAGGGCTGTCTGAGACTCCGACATCGAAAACCAATCGTCTAATTTTTCTCGCAAATAATAAGCTTTTGGCAGGAACAATCTACTTTAGGTTTCTTATCTACCTAAAAGCTATCCATGAACAAAAAATGAAAGAAATTGATTTTTCAACTCTTGCCACGAAATTAAGATTTTGGTCGATTTTTCCTGACAGTCGCTCTTAAGTACTTTTGCCCAAACAGCATGTTCTTTTCATGTTATACAAAACGGCAAATCCATAAATTTTGTGTTTGCTTTTTTTTCTGACTCCCAGGAAAAATCTCACAAGTTTCTCCTGTGGTACCCTAGACTATGAATACCCACATTTGTTTGGTTGCTTTTTGCCTCTTACTATCCAGGCATACCGTTGTATTTTCTTTAGTTTTCCTACAATAAAATTCTTTCTTGCCTAGACCACTTAAGCCGTGTGAGATACAGATGCACTCACACACAAAACATTTGGGCTCTGCTTAAGGTCCACATCAATAAAACAAAATATTTCTGTTATGCCTCCTTATTCATTGGCCCTGCGTGAAACTTTACTGAACAATTGAAAAGAAGGTTGCATGCAAAATCAAAGCAATTCTGGAAAAAAAAAATGACATGCCCTTGTCCCTTAGCTCCTCAATACAACTTACATTGCACATCCACACTGCAGGATGTGTTGTGGGTACCAAAACCATTGGAAGCATGACAAACGTAACTTCCTGATTCATTCCTCTTGACAGTTTCCACGTGAAACATCTCACTGAATGATATAACTGCACCTGAGTTTGCTCTGGTCCAAGTTATATTGGGAGATGGGTTACCAGTAGCATTGCAGTAAAATGTCACATTATCACCCTCAGTAACCGGAGAGGAACACTGCTGGATTACCACCATTGGTGCATCTGAAAGTAATACACAGTCTTTGTATTATGTTCAATGCAGACTACATGTATTTCCTCTTCTTCCTGAAGAGCAATGAGAATGTCAGTTAAAATGAACAATCTTATTATTTCCAAGGAGGATACAAAGAAAAACTCCATGCTAAACTAAAAAGTAAGTATTTGTTAAGAATTCTGCCTGAATGTCTTTTTAGCCACAGGTATTGGTTAAGGCCTGATAAACAATAAAGCAGAAAAATTTTCTAGGTTGCCGTCTTTTTTCTTAAATTCTATCAAAAAGGACATTCTGCAAAATAACTTTAAAAAATCCCACAATAATTAATAACTAAAATACTCACAAAACACAGTAATTACAGCCGTAGCTTTCATCAATCCGAGATAATTTTGCACTTTACATGTGTACACTGCTCCATTATCTTCTCTCAGCACACTGGTCAGATTAAGAATCTCTGAAGTTGACAACAACTTGTCATTTCCACCTTTTGTCCAAGTTATATTTGGCTCTGGATTACTGGTAGCATTACAGTACAGCAAAGCTCCCCTGCCCTCAACAAGTTGATGAGATGAAGGGGTAGAGATGAACTCTGGAGGAACTGTTAAACAAGACGAAAATGATTAAATGCACCTCTCTGAGAACCACAACTGTGTTTCAAGTAGGGGATAAGTTTGGTTTAGTTTTCTTAAGCAATAAATAGTAAAATTAAATTCATATGCCACCTAACCCTATGACCCAAGTACTACAAAAGGGGTTGCAATAACACGTTTCTTTTCAAACTTCCGGCTACACCAATAATGACATCATCCATCTTAAAAAACTACAACCTGCTAAACTGGTTATACTAAGCACAACATAAGAGTGTGAAATCATCTTGTTTTAGTAGGATCCTTATTCATGACAACATCAGCATTTCTAAATTCCTGCTGAAAAGAATGAGATTCCTCATGCCCCCATACAGGAATAAATCATTCTCTACTGTACTACTAATATAGCAATAAACTAGGGGACTTAAATCCAGAATTCCAAATCACAAGCAATCTTTGTTAAGACCTTCATAAAAAAAAATAAGCAGATGCAGTGGGCAAATTATCTAGGGGCTTAAAAAGAATAAGAAATAATGAGAGAATAAAACATTACATACTACATGTATTCAGCAGTTAATAAACTGCAATAATTGTTAGGGCCATCAGATGGCTTTGCTATATGTCTTTTCTTAGGTTGTTTGGACCTAACTGGCCAACAAAAATGTCCTATCAAACCACAACCAAAAACTTTTACACAGTCAGGGAGCTCTGAATAGCAACTGCAGCAATGTGGTTTCATATTTCATAACCAATCCCTTCTGCAAGCTATGCATTCAGCATGTCATGAATTTGAAAAAAAAAGATCCAACCAGCATTGGCCCAAGAGTTGCTGCAATGCTTGCAAGGGATCAATCATTTGTGTGAGTGTTGAGTTAATAATAATAATAATAATATAATTCTTATATTGCGTGCTTTCTATGAAATGATTAAGTGCACATTACATGATTCCTATCTATAATAATTCAATACAAGGTATCTAACTAATAATTATTTAAAATAGACTATGATAAAATTAAAATATACAACATATGTTAAGATACTAGTAATTATCGTGATAAAAATTAATAAAAAGCTTCCCTAAAGAGGTGCGTTTTTAGATGGCACTTAAAAATCCCTAGATCTGTAATAGAACGAATCTCACGCGGTAATACATTCCAAAGTGCCGGAGCTGCGAATGGAATGATCTGTCTCCTAATGTAACCCTACTTCTATAAGTTGGCTATGCAAGCAACTAACCATCAGAGGAGGATCTTAAATTATAGTTTTATTTCCTGATCTTTTAATTGACACAGGTTCTCTTAAACACGTTGGCGTGAATCCATGGGTGGCATTAAAAACAAATTAATAGTAGAATCTTAAAACTAATGCGTTGCCTAACTGGTAGCCGGTGCAGCTTGTACAGCAACAGCGTTATGCTTGCTGCGGCATTTAAAACGCGCTGAACCTTATTCAGGTGAGAAGCTGGCAAGCCATATAAAAGACTATTACAATAGTCTACACGCGAGGTAACAAACGCATGTACAAGGGCTTTAGTAGTTGATTTGGAATGACACAACACCCATGTTTTGCTAGAATAAGAATTGCTATGGCAATACGTTTCTGTCAGAGACAATGAGGTACTTACAGTGGACAGTAACATTTGCAACAGCAGTAGCAGGACGTCCCACTCCATTATCAGCTGTACACTGATACTGAATCATGTTGTTAGCGGTAACTGTCCTCCTCACATTATTCATAATAAGTGTTGAAGTTTGTGACAATACTTGACCCAAACCACCAACTTTGGTCCAAGTAAGTCGAGGATAAGGTTTCCCAGAAGCATTGCAGGAGAGTGTGACATTTTTTCCTTCCACGACAACAGAGGATATAGGATAAACATCGACTGAAGGTGCGTCTTCAAATAAACAAAGAAATAATGTTACCTTTAAAATAGTTATAGCTGTACAAGGGTTTCTTGTTAAAGATGACCATGAAGTAACTTGTGCTAACACGGAATGTTTGAGACCAAGTAATACCATGTCATAATGAGGCCCTTTGGAGGAGGGGTGGGGGGTCGTATGTCTCCAACATGAATTTCAAAGCCCTATATTTCAGGTATTGAAGAACCCACATTCCTGTCTGTATTTTACCATTGATTTTGTGCAGTTGCAATTTCATCCCATATTGTTTGTGTTTGTTGTCATTTCGTCTTATGTCCCTGTTTTAAGACCATGTGACTTGTCCAAATTTTATCTGCAAATGGCTCCTATTGTTAGTAGTTAATCTAATACTTCCCTCCTTGTTTGCAGTGGATGTGCAAGTTGGTACTTTAAAAAATAAATCAAAGGAAACCAACAGTTCCATCCATTTTATAAATTTGCTCCATACTGCATGTCTCCTAAACAGAACAAAGTAGGCCCCTTTCCCACTCCCTATTCAATAAAAATTATAGCTAGAACTAATGTGTATTAGTTGGATACCCACTTTAATTATCCCAAATAATTTGCAGAGTGTCTTGCTTTTTTTTTTCTGGCAACCAATATCTATGTCTGGCAAAATATCAAGTAAAAAACAATGAACTTGGAGAATGGCTTCTGGCTGCCCCTTTTAGAATTGAAGTCAGTGATGTCACAACAGTGCTTTAGTGCAACTTAGTATAAAAAATCAGGTTGAAGTGGTTTCAATACAGCCATGGCAATGTAAAGTATCTGAGGACAGACCTTATTGCAAAGCTGTCATTAAGATTACAAGTTAGCAGGTTAAGTAAGTGGGGAATGAAACAACTACAAAACTCCTTTGGTTTTACACTCCTTTTTGCTTCCCAGGAAAGTAGCTGGGGGTTGTCTTTGTAGTAAAATAGCACAAAGTGGGGCTAAGTACCCTAGCTAAGTAATCAACATCTCTCAAACCAACCTTAAGAACTGAAGTCCAAACTACTTAAATCTGTGAATAGCATTTTACTGAAACAAAACCAAGAACACTCATGCTAAAAAATACGAGTGACTTACCAACCATGGTGATGCTGACATTAGCATTGTGTCCTGTGCCAACTTTGTTGATAGGAACACAGGTGTACACTCCATCTGTATCAACAGTGATGTTTAACAGACCTGAGCTACTGTTGCTGATGAAAGAGTCATTGAAGTAGAACTGATACACATGGGCTGCTGGGTTGGCATCTGTGCTGCAGTTAAGTGACACGGTAGAACCACGCAGCACTGTAGTGCTTGAGGGTGTCATCTCTATGCTTGTTCCTAATGGTAGGTCTGCAATATATCAGAAAACACACTCTCGAATTAGTTATTCCTTCTAGAATTACAGAATGTAAAGGCAACACACTGGAAAAACATTTCCCACCAGACTTATTTACATGTAAGCTTACAGTATTAGATTTTCATGAAGTTCCTGTAATTATTAATTTTTAACTGCCTAAGACTCACAGCTGTATTTTGTACGCACAAGCTGTAACAGTAAAGTACATGTAGGTGTATATTTATTATAATGCCCATCCATTTCATAGCTGACTATAAAGCAGACTACTACAGCAATAGCTCTACACAGCTAATTGGCACCATCACCTGGTGAAGACCAGCAGTATTAAAAGCTGATTAAAACATTCATGATATACATGTACATCTAGGATCAAGTAGGACTGAGGAGTTAAAGAGGTATTGTAAAAATGTTTGGGATATGCTTGGTGGAACTTCAGGACTTGAAATAACAGCTGGTCAAAAGACAATGTCCAGTCAAAAGTATAGGCTTTGTCTAGTCATTTATGCTTCTAATGGAAAATTAGAAAAAGAGAGACAGAGATAGGACCAAATAAACATTTTTCCCGTCAAAAACAGTTTATGTCCGAGAAAAAATAGGTCTGACCAGACAACTTGACCGGTGCTGGCCTCAAAATTATTTTAACCCTGGAACTTTAATGTTCCTGCACATCATGAAATGTTGTTGCATGGTAAAATTTAATACTCTGAGTACAGTAGAACAGGGTCCGAAATTGCGCCTTCCTGGTCGCCAATGCGACTAAAAATTTAGCCCTGGCGACCAGAATTTCATAGCTG